TAATCTACTACATTTTGGAATCAAGAAACGGGAATTGTGGGGTGTAAAGCACCTGTCCCAGTCCTGAGGCACAGCAGTGCTCAGGAAGTGCTGGGAGTATCTATCGCCGCCCATTTTCACTATGCCTGCTGCCTCCTTGCCCCATTCCCACGGAAAGATCACTTTGGAATAGGACAGAAGAAGGTGTTGACACTTTTGCCCCTCATCCAGATCCTGCTAGACTAGAGTTTCTAATTGAGGTTTCAGAGATCTGCCTAAATCAAACACCGATCATAACTGCCCATACTGGGTCAGAACCAGAATCCTTCGGTCCACTCTGCTCCCTCAAAGGGTCACCAACTGCCATGCTTAGCAGTGTCTTGCAAACAGTAATTATCTGATGAATTGAATTATTCTATTTTCTTTGAGTCCACTTTGGGTTAAGCACCCCCTCCCGCTCTCCGCAGCACCGCCGTCAGATTAGCAATGGAGAGACAAGGGGATGAACTCGCCTGATAGTGGTGGGAAAAGGACGGTGGGGCAGGGGACAGGAACCCAGAGGAGTGAAAGGAGCAGCAGGGCCTAGAGAGGGGACGGAGGAAGATGGAGCTGGGAGGAAGAAGGAAGCTGGCGAGAGAGGCGCTGTCGAGGCGCAGCAGGGGGGCACACACCGAGGAGCAGCCCGCACCCCCAGGGGGCTGAGAGGGCGCCGGGGACCCGCACTGAGAGTCAAGGCAGACCCGCTTCGCCACCCATAGCGTACCCCGGGAGAGAGTCCGGGACGCAGGGCCCCCGAGGCTGCGGGTCCAAGTCCTTCCGCCAACCCGGGATTAGCGAGTCAGCCGCTTCAAAAGTCTAGGCGAGAGGAAGCCCAGACGCGTCGGCCTTCGCCCGGGCTGGAGCAGCTGCCAGATTTAGCCTCCCGCCTCGCCTTTTCTCCGGCCTGCCCCTCAGCCCCTCAAACAAGGCTTCCACACGCCTCCCGCCCCGCCTGTTTCCCGGGCCTCCTCCGGGGAAAATGGCACTCTTCGCCCACCCAACATCCCTCTACCCACCTCCCCCGCGCCCCCCAGTTCCAAGTTCCCCCAGCAGACCCCACCCACACTCTCTCCCCCTAACTCCACTCCCTTGCCCCCCCCACACACAGCTACACACTACCCCTGTCCCGCCCATTCACACTCTGCAGACACACTCCCCATCCCGTTCTCCCCCAACTCACCCACCAACACCCTTTGCCACTCAGCCTTTGCCCCCTGCCCACTTGCAAGTGAAGGGAATAGAGCTCTTTCCACCAGGAGGGTGCTTGGGGAGGAGAAGCCAGAAGTTGCCATCCATTTTGGTACAGCTTGACCCCAAATATGTTTCTCTCTAGTTTTTAGGGGCGCCCTTTGTTTTTGTCCCCTAGAGTCACCGACTTTTCCCACCTAGGTACAGAGAGAGTAGCCAGAGAGCAGGAACCTTCCACACTTGCCCAAAGACCACAGACAGCAGGACAGGCATCTAGGGGTGATGCTTCCTCTTCCCCAGATTCAGAGAGTGCAGTGCCCCCACCCTGACCCCGGGGTCCATTCACTAGGGGCTGGGCCCACCGCTGCCCCACGCTGGCAATCCCTTCCTTACCCCTCCTCCCGCCCCCAGGAATCTACGATTACTTTATCTCAAGCCTTTTGAGGTTACCAGCAAAACACCTTTCTCGGGATGTTTAATAAGCTGCTCACAGGCCTCCGCAGTTGAAAAACTGTCAACCCTCTTGATCTGTTGTCTGCTGCTTCAGCCCGTTCCATTGCCTTGGCTTTCTTCCCCTCACTGCTGCAGTCACAGCCAGGCATGGCACCTTCCTGCCTAGCTTCCTTTCCCTTCTCACAGCTGTCCTTGGCTGGGATCTCCCCTAATCACCTTGGGATATGCTTGTATTCATTGGTTTGAACATAACTTTACGAAAGGTTGTATTTTACTTTACACGGATTTGGGGGAGGTTGTTGAGTCAAACATGTAAAAACACATAACATATGATCTACATTTGCTTTTGTTTTACCTAGGAATGCTGACTTTTTTTCCTTCTTGTTGTTCCCTTTCTAAGATAACTTTTTGTCCTGTGGCTTCATTGGTCTGACCAGCGGTTTCTTTAGGAAATGTTTGCCATCTATAAAGCAAGGAAGGTGAAAGAGCCAAAAAAGGCGGGGGTGGGGTGGAGGAGGAAGCAGACTTCAGATTGGTAAATGCCCCACTTTGCCAGTAGGACTGATGGACAGTTCTAGGTCCAAGAGCACAGGGCCTAGCTTCCAAATGTGCCAATTCTAATTTATTTTATGGCCTAAAAGGTGGAGGAGGGGAAATCATATAAAGGTGACAACTATGCATGAGCTAAAATGTGCATACACATACATATCCCATGAGAGTCCAGTTGCTTCACCAAAACGTTGGGGGTAGGGATAGGTCCTTATAAGAATACATGTCAGTCAGCTTGAGTGTACAGATCACACATTTGTGGGCAATATACCTTCCAAGTATTGAGCACTAGTCATGTGCTGAACAAGTTTAGTCATGTAGAAGTTTGTCAATAAATCTATGATTTGGATATTATCCCCACTTCACAGATAAAACCTGAGGCTCAAACAGATTAAGTAACACAATCAAGGTCACAGAGTCAGTAACAAACCAGCTGAGCAGTAATTAAAGACACAGGGTGACCCCCAGATTCCCAGGTCCTTCTTCTGATTACCTCGGTGGGGTGGGCCCAGAAATCTTTACATTAAAAAAAAAAAAAAAAAGCTCCTTCGGTGATTCCAGTGATTCACCAGGTCTTTGGAAGCACCACTCCACAGTAAACCATCCCGCTGTTCCTGTCACCAGCCTTGCCTCCAAGCAGCCTACTCCACGTTGGACAAAACATTTAAAACATATTTAAATAGCAATTTCGAAAAACTATACAGCATATGGATTTTCCTTTTGATCTCAAAATGATGACAAACAGACACTTAGATACTTCATAAAAGAAATATTACCAGAAAAATTATAGAAATCTGGCTTTCAACTTCATCTTGCTCTAATTTAAACAAAATGCAACTTGCCAGTTACTCTCTCTCCAAATGCATCCAAACTGGGAGCGTCTTTCTCTTTCCGCTGGGTCAGGCCTACACCTATTTATTTCTAGCCCAGTCCTCACCCTGAATAACAGCTTCTGGTAAGATGGACAATGTGGAAAACTTCAGTCCTATCACCAAAACCCCTGAAAATGGAGCACCCCCGAATTCACACCCTTGACGTGAAAAACCAAAGAGAGGGAAGCTAGGAGTAACGGCCAAACATCCTTAGAGTAATTGACAAAAGAAAGGGGGTGGGCAGAAAGGGAGATTTCCATCCCTTCAAACGTGCACGCCCCTCCCGCGGTCCCGAGAGGGAGTCCCCCCTCCCAGGTCGAGTGCGTCCACCGGCTGTCCCCGCAGCAACAGGCGGGAGGCGGGGGAGGGGAGGTCGCGGGGGCAGCTCAGGCCTGGCGGCGGCCGACGTCCCCAAGCCGCCACGACGTTCCCCCGCTCTGCGGCGCGCCGGGAGCAGGTGGTTGCCCTCTGCGTCCCGGGCGTGCACTGAGCCCAGGCTAGCGGAGCAAGGCTGCAGCCCCTGCGGTGGCCCGGGAAGAGGCAAGTGCCGCGGGGCCGGGGCGAGGAGGGACTGGCAGGGCGGCGTGGAGCCCCACTTGGCCGCGCAGGCAGGAGGGGCGCGCCCTCTGCGGAGCGCGGCGCCGCGGCAGCCACAGCATCTCGCGCTCGCTCTCTCAGGTCGGAGAGGCCGCGACACCTAGCGCGGGGCTGAGGCTAGGAAGGGCGGGTCGGGAAGGGAGGAAGGCACAGGGAGGAAGCCGCGGGCGAGGAAGCCCCGCTCCCGCCGAGTGCCTGGAGAGGAGATTCCCAACCTTCCCGCCCAACCCGAAACTTTTCCAACACACGCAGGCGTATTCTTCGCAGGTTTCGGCGGCCCAGAGTCGCAGTCAGGGAGAAGGCTCGGGAATCACACGTGCCCTGGCACACTGGAGGAGGTACACAGACACACCAGGAGGGACAGGGCCTCTTGGGAGGCGGCTGAGGGTGTGAAGGCAGCAGGCGGCCACACATCCGAAAGGGACTCCCCGCGAGCGGAATCGAGCGCTTAAAACCCTGCCACAGCTCGGAAGTGTAGCGGTGCCCAGAGGCTTTGCGTAACTTTGCCCACTGCGCCCCCGCGTGCAAAGGCGTCCCCTTCACACTCACACTCTCACCCCACCCCACTCCCCTTGGGCTGCGGCCCGAGGCTGCCTTTGTACTTAAGCGACAGCAAAAGATATGCTGATTCGAACCAAAGATGGTGGGCACGAGTGTTGTAAATTGTGTGAATTCCACTCGCGGGCACCCCCAGATACGTGGGGAGAGCACCCCTTTCTCCCCGAAGGCATCCCGTCCGTTTCTCTCGGCCTTTGGGTCTCCAGCTTCTTCACTACTATGGACTGAAGAAGACAAAGCACAGCCAAATCAATGTTTTGGGTGTTTTTGTTTTGGTTTTGGTTTTTTCCAATCACGGCCACTCCAAATGCTAACCCTCAAAAGCTGGGTGGGGTTGGAGAAAGGCGAGTTATGTCAGGGAGCACCCCTCGGAAGGCGCGCGCGCGGCCTGGCGGGTTCCTCGCCGGGCTCTGGGCAGCCGGGCGGAGTGGCTGGATTATGTAAGTAGCAGCCCTCCATGTGCTCACCACCATCTGTTAATATCTTGGTATTGGAAAGTTTGGTGCCTGAGGCAAAGCCAGGGTTGGCGGCGAAGAGCTCCCAGCCTACACTTTTCTACTCCAGGGCAGGGAATGTACTTCCCTTTGATTGTTTTCGCCCACTTTCATCAAATCAAGTAGTAGTGTGTCCCTTCAATCACTGACAACCCCCTCATCCCCGCGGGTGTGTCTTTGTGGGCGAAGAGTGATTTTCTTCGAGGCCAACTTATTGTAATGAGCCCTTTCGATGAATTTATATTTTCATGACAATTCTGCACTCCTTAAAGCAATGTGGCAGACTCTTTATTTGGGAGTGGGTTCTTTCTCATTTTAAAAATTTACTTTCCTTCTGCCAGCACCCCTGGAAACAAATTCTTGTAAGGGTTATATTTCAACTTCTTTGGAGTGATTGGCTTCTGTTTACTTTGAAAGCTGTTGGTTAAACAAACATCACTCGGGAGGCTTCTAAGCAGTGGGGTTCCCAGGAGAGAAAACGCTGCAGCTGCTACTTGCTACTGATCTTGTGGTATTTCACTTCCCCCCCATTCAGAACAAATCCAGGTTGGGCTTGGCGTCACACTGGGCACAGGAGATGAGAGTGAGAGAGAGGCCGTCAGTCAGTTTTGCCTCTGGAAAGCTTGCAGCAGGCAGGCCTGCACCCTGGGGTTGGTTTTCCTCTCTTCCCTTCTTCAGGGTTGGGATAGTGGTGGTGGTGCTGGTGGAGGTGGTAGGTGGGTGGGTGACCGGGAAGTCCTTAGGCATCCTTCTCCAAAATCCATGTCCACGTTTGCCTCTCAACTGAATCTGGTTGAAATTCCCAGAATTGGTTTGTTTAGGATCTGATAACCGCTGTTTGTAAGGTTTTAAATTACTTATACACACTGTCTTCCCTCCTGCCCCCACCTAACGGCTTTAAGAAAGAATAGGAGGCGTGAGCATACACCGAGGAAATGTCAAGGCGAAGTGTATTCAACACAGAACCAGATGCACGAGTGATAACTGCGAGTTTGTCTAAGAGCACACAGATCACCCTTCAGATAAACAAGTAAATGCAACCTGCACGGATAGGGTTTGTTACAAGACCGGTCAGAACTTGCGTTAACTTTTAAGTTACTGGGGTTGTGTTGGAAATGGGGCGAAGGGAGGAGTTGTCTTAAGCCTAGGCTTGGCAGCTGGTTTCAGAGATGGAGCCAATATCTAGGCGACTTCTCATCTCCAGGCTTCTCCCCTATCAGAAAACAAAGCGGTAGTTGCCCGAGATAGGGGGCTCGGGCCTCAAGTCTTGCTCCAGGGCAGCCCGAGACCCAGGACAGTGCCGCAGCTCTAGCAAGAGAGGTTGTCAGGAGTGTGGCCTGTACGACTCCCCGAAAGTAGAGGACAGGACAGGGGACAGGGCTGCGCGGAGGCAGCTCACGGAGCTGGGCTGCGAACCGATCTCCCTCGCCTAGAGTCGCGCGCGCTCCTATTTCAACTCGCCGCTCCTGCGCCCTAATGCGGGCTGCGAACCGCCGCGGCAGAGCGTCACCAGCCGGGAGCCTCCGCCGCCGAGGCTGGGGGTGGGAAAGCTTCCTTGTTCGCCAAGCGGGTTACCCCGACTTCGACTCAGGCCTGCCTTTCCCCACGGCGTGACACAGGACTTACTGGGGTTCTCAGGGAACTTTTCCCGCCGCCAGTTCCCGGGCGTGGTGTGTGCAAAACGTGCATTCAAGCGCTATGTGCAATTGACACAAACTTGTGGGCTAAAGTACAAGCCATTTCTTTTGCGTTTGAATCTTTTTCTCTGTCCCTGCCTCCTTTCTTCCCCCTACTCCCCCCTCCTCCTTCTCTGCTCTCCGCCCTTTTAAATGTCAAACTGAGCAGATGGTTTTAAGGTGTGGAAAGGTATATAGCCCTTACTCCTACCAGTTTATTTGTGGGCTGGCTCTAGCTTATATGTACAAACCAAGATTCTTAAAGAAAACCAGTAGGACGAAAAATAAGAAAGGAAGTAGCTTTGATCCATTTTCAGACCCCAAATTTCCCCGCTCAATACACCCGCTTACCTCGAAGGGACCCAACCAATAGAAGCATTATTTCGTCCTGTGTCTAATGGGCATGTTGGTTATTTCTGCTCCCAGACTAAACTGGCACATCCCGGTTAGAACACTTGATACAACAGTCAATAGTTGGAGGTGTGAGTGGTGTGTATGCGCTCCTCTGTGTTGTTTCCCTGATAGACGCGTGGGGGGAGTCTGTGGGGCGGCAAAAGGGGAAAGAAGGCGGCTGGGGATGCTCCCGCAATCTCTTTTCTTATCGCGGACTCCTAACCTGACCGACCTGATTTTTTTTTTTTCCTCTTCTTTTCACTGTTTGAAATTCGTGCCAAAAGTTTCCTGCCGGGATAGACTCGGATATACTAACATCGCTATTCTTATTCCAAGGGAGGGCTTAATATCCTCTTTACGGTTTGGTGAATTTGAGGCTGAAATTTTAAATTTCCTAGAAAGGAGTATGTGTGTGTGTGTGTGTATGTGTGTGTCGCAGAAGACATTGGTAGTGTTTGGCCAGTGTACTTGTAACACACCTCATAAATACCCTGTTGTCACGACACAGCATGATTCAACCTTTGATCTAATTAAATTTGAGGGACACACGAAAACTACTTGTCCTCCTCGTACCTACAAAAATGAGTGTCTAATAGACTGTGTATGAATGTTTCTGCTTCGCAGCTTTTGCAAGTCCCAGCTTTTATAAGATCTTTAGGTCATAAACGCGGCTGCTTTATTAAAAGCCGTTTACTGTGCCCGGTGAAAGGGACGTTCTAGCTGCGGCCGGAGGCTCGCTTGCATTTGTAACTTGCAAAGCCTAAGGAGATCTTTAAGAGCCACATTATCTAAATAAATTTTGCTGGTTATTTTTCAAGCAAGAAATGTCAAACCGAAGTAAATTTCCTAGGGCTTTATGTTAGAGCCCGAGATTAAAGCGTTTGAAATTTCTTGCCTAATAAACTTTAAAGTTTGTTGCCCAGGCGTCAAAACTGTGTAAATCCTGTATTGAACAGCTTTCTTTGGTCTTTGTGGGGTGAGTGAATTAGTGAAGGGTATTCGCCAGATGTTTGCAACATACATATTTTTAAAGGCTGCTTTACCTACAATCCAAATAATGTCAGAGGTAACCAAGGGTAAATATTTCTCTTCCTAATAATTTGGACTGGAGCTTAACTGGGACTCAGCCAATGTTGATCTTCGTCTAATAACAGATGCAGCGGACCCGATGTGAAACCTCTGGCACCTATTATTTTAATACCAAACCTACCTGTATTTTATTGTCCACCTCCCCTTTAAAAGGAACCAAGGGTGACACGTATCCTTGACACTACCTATGATCGTTTAAGAAGTGGAATGATTTGCAGATCTCCCCCCCACTCCCTCCTCCTATGCCACCCCCACCCCTAAAACCCCCACTTTTTCTCCCGTATACTTTTCCGTGCCTTCCTCCACCCAAGTCGGAGGAGCGCTCACTCGCTCGGCCACTCGGCGAACTCGATCAGCTGTATCTGGGAAATGAAAAAAGAAAAAGAAAAAGAAAAAAAAAAAAAGGACCTGCGTCCTGGAAGAGCGAGTGTGAGCTGGGCGCCGCTCGCGCCGTCTCCCGCTTTGCATAGAGCCCGCAGATGGCTCGCTCCGGCCCAGGCGCGGCGATCCAGTCGTCCCGAAGCAGTGGCAGGGCGGGGGTGGGGGTGGGGGCCGGGGATGGAGGCCGGGGAGGGGGAGCTCAGGGCCCCTCTCCCCTCCTCTCTTCCCAGCCCCTCACCCCCACCCCTTTTATATTTTTTTTTCCTCCCAAGTTCTCTTGCCTTGCTATCCCCCCTTGAATCCGAAGGCGCCTCGCGATTGGGTGCTGGGGCCGGGTACGTCAGATAGACTGTGACGTGCAGTCTTCCTGTTTCCTTCAGCTGTGTCTTAAAGTAAATCTTGTTGTGGAGCGGAGCCCTCAGCTGAGGGAGCGCTCTGAAATAATACACCATTGCAGCCGGGGAAAGCAGAGCGGCGCAAAAGAGCTCTCGCCGGGTCCGCCTGCTCCCTCTCCGCTTCGCTCCTCTTCTCTTCTTTACCCTTCTCCTCTCTCCTCCTCTGCTGCTCTCTCCTCTCCTCCGCTCTTCTCTCTCCTCCTCTCCTGCTCTCTCCTCTTCCCTTCGCTCCTCTTCTTTTCTTCTCCTCTTCTTCCCTCTCCTCGCCTCTCCCCTGCTCCTCTTCTCTAGTCTCCCCTCCCTGCCCGCCTCTCTCTCCCCTCTCCCTCTCCCACTCGCCCCGCTCGCTGGATCGCTGTCGCACAGACTCACCGTCTCTTGTCCAATTATCATATTCATCACCCGCAAGATATCACCGTGTGTGCGCGCGCGTGTTTTCCTCTCTCTGCCGGGGGAAAAAAAAGAGAGAGAGAGAGAGAGAGGGATAGAGAGAGAGAGAGAGAGAGAGGCTCGGTCCCACTGCTCCCTGCACCGCGTAAGTATCCTCTTCTTCCCCTCATGAGTCCCTCCCCTTTTCCAGAATCACTTGCACTGGCTTGTTCTTGAATGAGAAGGAAAGAAAAGAGCCTCCCATTACTCAGACCCGTGTAAACATTTTTCCCCCCAGGAGAAAATGGTGTTATTTAAATGAATCATAATAAAATAGCCTCTAAACAGTTTCTAAGCGGGAGCCTCCGTGAACTCAGCGCTCCGCTCCTCCCAGTTCCTGAGAGTAAGTGATCCGCTTGGCTTTTATTTCTTTCTCTTTCCTGCTGGTGACTGGGGGTGGTGGTGGCGATGGGGGGGAGGCTGATGTTGCTGGACTTGTCGCTGATCTTGTCACCTTTTGTGTACTGTTTCTGGGGTGTGAGGAGGCGTTTGCTCCCTTTCCTTCTTTCTCCTGCTCTCTCTTCTCAGGAGAGAGGACCGCGAGGGGGACCGGGTCGCTTTTTTGTTCGTGCAGATCCCCGCTTTTCGCCAAACCCCATTCTTCTGATCTCCCCCGGCTAAAACTCCGGGGCCGGTCCCCTCGTCCTTTCTCTTTGTCTTGTTTATTATAGCTGCCTTTCTTCCCGGCTCTTCCAATTTGCTTGTCATTTGCATACCTTTCACTTCTCCTTTTTAACCCCAGCAGAGGACCGGGAGCTGGGAGGAGGAGAGAGGGAGGTTGGGGGGCGCTCTGTTACTTTCCTCTCAAAACGCTGTCGAAGCCGAATTGTGGAAATCGGGCTTGGAGCGGTGCGGTGATGGGTCCCGGGAAACGCGCGCGGCGCCCCTCTCCCGAGCTCCTGGACCCAGGGCTGGGTCAAGTTGAGTAGGGTAAGGCGGCACCGGGAGACTCGGGGGGTCGCGTGGCGGTGAGATTGGGGCACCCGCACGAGGAGGACCGGAGGATCGCGGTCCGGGTAGGGGTAAGGGGTTCTCGGGCAGCAGAAATGGGAGGCAATGAATCTCCCAGCCATCGCTGGCAGACTATGGTGTTGGGCAGCTTCGGTCTGGTCTCATCTGGGTGGTACCTACCGTTTTGCCCCAGTTAGGAGGACTGGGGAGGGAGGACAGCAGAGGTGAGAGTAATTGTTACTGGGAAGACTAGTGAGGAGGGCGGGAAGAGGGGGGAAGAGCTGCTATCTTGCCTGAGCAGACCAGGAGGGGGACGCAGGGGGCGGGGGGAGACATCACCCAAAGTCCAGTTTAGCAAGTTGTTGGTTCTTCTGGTGTGCCAGCCCGTTACTCCTCCTGCTAAAGCCGAAGGTTGGTGGAGTGATGGGGGGTGGGGGTGGTAAAGGAGGAGTAAGTAGCTTTCCACAGACTCCCAGGTCTCTGGTCCCTTCCCAGCTTCTTGGGAAATTGAGAGCCCTCCAGGCAGACAGAGAGCAGAACTGGAAGTAGGGGTGGTGCTTAGTCTTAAATAGCCCAAGGAGGCAGGTTGGAGTGTGAAACTGCTGTTCTTGGCAACCCAGAAGGCTACTCTGCCTGGGGGAAGGCTGGAAACTCACCTGCTTGTTTTTATTTTTCCGAGAAGGTCTGTGCTGTCTCCTTGAGCTTATAAAAACAGAGCAAGCACAGGGTGGCCTCCTCGCAAAGTCAAGGCTAGAAGAGTCCCTTCTCCTGTTCTCTTTTCCACTCATGCCCTCCCTTATTTAAAAAGAAAAAGAAAGAAAGAAAAAAAAACTCATTTCCTTTCCTAAACTAGGTAGGCAGAAATCTATTAGCAGAGTGCGCATGGGCAGGGCCTGACAGGTGTGTTGTGTCAAGAAAGACAGGTGCAAATTTCCTCTGTGTCTATGAGTGTCTGTACAGCTCCAGACCACAATGCTTGCTCGAGGGTTGGAGAGGTTTATGAATTTATGGTTGTCCTGGTTAATAGGATTGTCTGGGCTAATGGGAATTGGGCTGTTGTTGTTTTGAGCCCTGCCATGTAAGTTCTTGGGGTGGGGGCTGGGGGCAAGTTGGTATGTGTTTGTTTATTTTTCTTAAGGATATTGGCAGACTACTGCTGAGGCTGTGTCCCAGGCTTCTGTCTGCCAGTCAGCCCAAAGCACCCCCACTTTAGGCAGCAGGTGGAGGGAGACTGACTTTTCCTTTGCTTCCTTCCAGTTTATGCCTATCTCCCAAGTCTGTGCTTGGCAGAGAGAGAGAACTGTCCTGTGTGTATGTGTGTGTGTGTCTGTTTGTGTGTGTGTGTGTGTGTGTGTGTGTGTGTGGTGTATGCTTTGGATAGCAATGAGTGGTGTGTAACTGCCAAGAATTCCAAAGTCAGTTTGAAAGTGTTACTGTTGTTAAAGCTTATCTTTTTAAGTATGCTTTCTCCTTGCCCAGAAAGAATAGGTATGTACATAAACTCTTTCAAGTCATATGTTAAATAATCTCATAAAGTAGAATGAGCCTGTCATTGTCCCAGACATGTGCCAAATGTCCTAGATATGAATTTGATGGAGAAAGAAAATATCAAGTACATGAGAAGGTAACTGTGCTTTTCTGTTCTGATGCAAGATGTGAGAAGTCAGTTCTATAGGGAATTTCTTGCAAGAACTTCTGAGTATATCCAAAATGAAATGGATTTTTGTGTGTGTGTGTTGAAGGAGGAAAATGAGAGTATTCATGTTAACTTGTCCATGGGTTACAACATGGACATGTATATATAATAGTAAAATAGATGAAGTTAAGGACTCTGTCTTGATGTGTGCAGAAAGTTGTTGGGAATTCAATGTAAGCACTATATATCTGGCTTCTTAAAACTTGATCTTTTAGAATTATCTTTAAACAAGCTACTTCTGTAGACTGAGTTGCACAGGAATAGGTTAGATGGCGAATGGTTTTTGGTCATTGGTTTTGTGTTTGGGTGGTTATTGTTTCCATGAAAATGAGATTGTAATGTGTCATTTATTCTGTAGACTTCAACATTAACATCCCCCCACCCCAACACACACAACACCCAATACTTTCCTTGGATGCTTTTGAAGTTCTTTGGTAATTAAAATGTCATCTATGGCTATGTTCATTTGCTTTATTTTTAATAGGGTTTATCTGTGCTTGGCACTTATTGATATTTTATGTGTCCATTATGCAGAATTCTGTTTAGTTTAATCACCACCTTGTGGGAAAAAAAGTCATGCATACATAACATGCATCTTTGTTCTCACTTTATTCATTTCCTAGCATCATTCCTCTATAAGCAGCACATGCTATCTTAAAACCTAAGCTGGCTTATTCTATAAGTTGCCAGACTTCCTCTTTATGTGTTTAAAACTCAAACAGGCCTCTTTTCATGAATGTCTTACATCATTATAGGGATTGTCTTGAATTTGCAGTGTTAATATAAGGAAGTTTTAGGTTTCAGAAGCAAAAGAAGTTATAAAATGTGACTGATGTTATAATATGAAAATGCATTGTGCATGATGTATCATTATAGGATTTTAATTAAGTATGTGTATAACTTGGAAAGGACATATACATAAGGAATTTCTCAAACTTATTGCCTGTGCATTCTCAAATGACATTTATAGAGTTCAATTTTCTGCAAAAAAAAAAAAAGTGTATTTTCTTAAGATTATTTCACACACTCTCTTATTTACCAATTTGGTAAGTTGTTACTTTTTAAACAAGTAGAACTTAATATTTTAGGCATGTCTCAGAAAATGTTCTGTGTTTGTTTTGCAGGTGAAAAATGTGTGGAATTTTTGATAGGATGGGAGAATCTTAAATGAAATCTTAAATGATTTGAGAAGTCCATTATGACAGGAAATTTAAAAACCTGATAATGCAATCTTAGTTAATTTAGATATTAACTTATGTCAAGTGAGTTCTTCAAAATAAACATCAAAGGTTTTCTTAACCTGATAGGGAGCAGAAATATATCCAATATCTCTGAAGAAAAAGTTGCTAATTAGCAGAAACAAATTCTTGAATGTAGTCAAGGGGACAATTTAATGATTCAGGGGCTACTTAAATCAGATCATCTGATTTTTCCCTTTGAATCACTAATTTCCAGATGGATTTGAAATATTCTTCGCTAATGATATTCTGTTTGAAATTTCATAACCAGGTTGACCCAAGTAGAGTAGAGGCCCATCCAAAGATGATTTTCTAAAAGAAGTCAAGTGTAGGCTTGCACAATTTCTTCAAATAATTTTATCAACAAAGACAGATCATCTAAATAATCCAAGCAGGAAACCATGCCAACCTTACACTCTCCCTGTCTCACAAAAGATTTGTCTGAACTATCTGGATAATTATCATAATGAAACACTTCTTTGTCCAGAATCTGGACTCCAGATAGATGCAGTAAAAGTTGAATCCTCCTCCCCAAAATAACTTCTTTATTAAAGTAGAGCACTTAATCACTTTATACTTCACGTTGCAGTGTTCCTTTGAAATTCTTTACTGAAAATTCTTTCCTCCTAACCTTAAGTCATCAGTTTCCTTAGAATTTTCCATGTTAAAGAGAATGTCAGATAATTCAGATATTAAAGAAGACTCTTTTGGAGGAGCTAAAACCTGTTTTGATTATACCTGGATGTTTATTCTTATAATATCTTTTTCTGGGAGGAATCTGCTATGTTAAGATATGCATTGTGTAAGAATTACTAAAGCATTTGTGTAGGTTATATGCCAAGTGATGCAACAAAATATTTAATGATGAAAAACTCTATATAGACTTTCACATTAATTAAAGAGGGGTTTACAGGAATAGAGTAAGTGTATCCGATCAATAATACATTTGGGTTCAAATTCTCATCAGTATTTTTCTGCATCCTTGCTGATTTGGACATCCACCAGTGCTGATCAAAAGCTTCATATTGCCTAGTGAAACTGAAAATTAATGTTAAAATTCAAATATAATATGCATCAATAATAATTGCAGTTGAAACATGATGGCTTAATACATACCTTGAGAGATAAAGGAGTTTAAAAAATATCAGTGATAAAGTCATTCCATGGCTTCCTTTAAATTCTGAACTGGAATATCATGGAAGCACTTGGAAAATGTTTTTAAGAGATTTAATTTATATTATGGCAATGCAATGGCACATTTTCTTACGTGGTAAATATATTTATGTAGATATCTTGTTTATGAAATGTGACAGTAATGAAGTGTTGTGTCAACTGGTTGTTATTATTTAATCATGCCTATAGCCTCCATGGGTTATGGCTCCAGTGTATGCTACCACTATACTTTTATTTCTAAATTTAGGTCTAAACTATATGGAGAGATATATTTATTTGTGCCTATTAATATAATGCCTTGTCCTGGATTATATAATTTATCTTATTTTTCCCACTTGTTTTGTCCTATTTGTTATGTTTCAGCTGGACATTTTACAACAAGACCTAAAAGTATTTAACTTCTTCTAGCCCAAGACAGATACAAATCATTGTTTAATCTAAAAATGTTGACTGAAATAGAATTACAAATTAGTTTAGTTTGGTGAATATCAAGGGAGTTATATCTTGTTCTTAACAGACTCCGCAAGCATTTCTTTCCACCTTAGGAAAAGCACAGCCCTCCTCTTGGCTCCAGCATGGGGCAGGGATGCAGCTGTTGATACCTAGGCTAGATGAGAGGAAGTGCAGTTGACGCAGAGGTAAATGGCAGTTGGAAAAGGAAGGATGCCTGGGGATGACCTTGTGCTCATCAGCGACACCAGTATGTCCTTTCCAAGCCTCTGTGGCAGAGGTGCTCTTCCCATAGCAAGGATGGCAGGCAGAAAGTCTAGTTTGGGTGTTAAGGTGAACAGGGAGAGAAAAAATACTGCAAAAAGTTTGTTCAACGTGTTGATTGGAGATCCATGTGCTTTGCAGGTGATAGTCAAGAGAAAAGGATTTGCATGCAAATAGAAAAGATGTAAAATTTTAAAATAAGGGCAATAAGCTCTATTTTGGGGAAGCTGATAGACACACACAAAAAAGTCTTCCTTGTCACCGCCCCCCATGTAAGTGTTTCTGTGATTAACAGAGCTTTGAAATGATTCATCCTTTTTCTTGTCTCAGCCTCTCCTTGTTCTTTCTGTCATCTGACAGCTAACCTAATTTATCAGATCTAATGTGTTTGTGTAGTATTTGTCACTGCATTTTTGTATTCCTGAAAACAATTTTATTATTAGTGTTTGAAAGGGTCTCAATCATTCTGAATTCAATTTTGAACCCAATGTTGAAGTTATTGAGAACTCCATCTCCATTCTAAGTTCAGGAAATTTTATCCTGAAGCATGCAAAAAGTATTTCATGCTCAAGCATACCAAAAAAAAAAAAATATATATATATATATATATATATATAGAGAGAGAGAGAGAGAGAGAGAAAGAGAGAGAGAGAGAGATATCATTTTGCTTTCATGATGCCCTAAAGCAGGCTCTTTTAAAATGTTTTGTCTTTCTATAGAAACCAGGAGCAAAGATTGCATGATGAAATCACTGTCGCTTAAAAAAATATACATATTGTTGCCATCTAAGCATTGAGCATTTTCTTGAATTTTACAGGTTATTTCATGCTGAAATTATGCCTATTTGCATGGATAGTCATTCTTTAAAGCTAGCCACAGATGCAGTCCTAGGGAGCACGTAGATGTTTTTACAGGTGAACCGAAAGAGATGGGAGCCGTTCCAGACACTCTGCACGCTGCCTTTGGCAATGGACCCTGTTATTGTGAAGATGTGCTCTGTTAAGCAAACGTGAAGTTTAATATTAGATAAACCCAATGTGAAAAAAATATTTTCATTTTCTTCATAAAATGTTATTTATAAACAAAAAGATGTGACATCTTATATGTCTACAAAATTTGGGATTAGCATCACTAGTTAATAAGTTACACAATATGTCAAGTGCCTTTTATGAAATGCAAAAAGGATGTTCTCTTTTTATATTGTGTTTCCAAGAAACAATGGAAGTTCATATACAAAGAAATATACTCTTTCTTATACATTTGAGGGACATTATTTTCTGTCTTCTTTATAAATCTTCTTTCAGTGTTTTTTTTTTCCTTTAATTTGGCACAGGAAATAAGATTCACAAATCTTGTATGTTAAAGAGTTTCTTTGGGCATTTGACATATTATTTTGACAGATTTAAACAGAAGGAAACTAGTCCTGAAGATGTATTTATCTTTATCTAGGTCAATAATTTATTATTCCTCATATTGATTTCTAAAATGTGGTAACATCCTTGTTTTGCAGTGAATCTAACTTTGTAATAATTTGTCATTAAAAGGACATTATGAAAATGTATAAATATTCGTATAGTTACATTAAGATATATCAGCAGATATCAGCTTCATGTATGATTTTACAAGTAAAAAATGCATAGCTAAGCTAAATAAGCAGACTTGTAAAATGACTATTTTGCATTTATTTCAATGCTAAACTGACCATTTATGTTTGAAAGATGCTGCTGATAAGGGTGTTCTCCTTCTCATTTTATGTATGACAAAAATATTTTAGAAATCAAGAATAAAAGCTGTCTATTAAATATTTGCATTTATTTTAGAGTCCTTTTCCTTTAATAGCATTGAAATCACAATAATTGTAATTCAGAAATGCAATTTTTCATGTGAATTTCACACAGCCTCAAAATGTAACCGTATTTCTTAAGTATAGAGCACTTTCATCTTCCTTATAATACGAATCTCAATGCCCAAAATTTAATCAATTGGTTGTCAGAGGCTGTGTTCTTATAATCTACTGTTTCTTCTGAAGATAAACAGTATCATTTTAGGCATTTGTGAAAGAGAATCATATTACTGGTGCTTAAGCAGTTTTTGCTTTATTTTTTTTTTAATCTTAATCCATCTTAAACCAGTGGAGCAGAAATATTTAAAAATGTTTCATTTCAAGCAGAGTGCATAATAAATTGCAATAATTGTAATGTGCCATAAATCCCAGAGCCTATGCATTTTGCATTTGATTCAGGATTGAGGTCAGGAAATTTGGAGAAATTTAAAGAAAATGATTCATCAGTCCTTTTGTTCTGTTGGCCAGGGTCCCGGGATTCTTGAGCTGTGCCCAGCTGACGAGCTTTTGAAGATGGCACAATAACCGTCCAGTGATGCCTGACCATGACAGCACAGCCCTCTTAAGCCGGCAAACCAAGAGGAGAAGAGTTGACATTGGAGTGAAAAGGACGGTAGGGACAGCATCTGCATTTTTTGCTAAGGCAAGAGCAACGTTTTTTAGTGCCATGAATCCCCAAGGTTCTGAGCAGGATGTTGAGTATTCAGTGGTGCAGCATGCAGATGGGGAAAAGTCAAATGTACTCCGCAAGCTGCTGAAGAGGGCGAACTCGTATGAAGATGCCATGATGCCTTTTCCAGGAGCAACCATAATTTCCCAGCTGTTGAAAAATAACATGAACAAAAATGGTGGCACGGAGCCCAGTTTCCAAGCCAGCGGTCTCTCTAGTACAGGCTCCGAAGTACATCAGGAGGATATATGCAGCAACTCTTCAAGAGACAGCCCCCCAGAGTGTCTTTCCCCTTTTGGCAGGCCTACTATGAGCCAGTTTGATATGGATCGCTTATGTGATGAGCACCTGAGAGCAAAGCGCGCCCGGGTTGAGAATATAATTCGGGGTATGAGCCATTCCCCCAGTGTGGCATTAAGGGGCAATGAAAATGAAAGAGAGATGGCCCCGCAGTCTGTGAGTCCCCGAGAAAGTTACAGAGAAAACAAACGCAAGCAAAAGCTTCCCCAGCAGCAGCAACAGAGTTTCCAGCAGCTGGTTTCAGCCCGAAAAGAACAGAAGCGAGAGGAGCGCCGACAGCTGAAACAGCAGCTGGAGGACATGCAGAAACAGCTGCGCCAGCTGCAGGAAAAGTTCTACCAAATCTATGACAGCACTGATTCGGAAAATGATGAAGATGGTAACCTGTCTGAAGACAGCATGCGCTCGGAGATCCTGGATGCCAGGGCCCAGGACTCTGTCGGAAGGTCAGATAATGAGATGTGTGAGCTAGACCCAGGACAGTTTATTGATCGAGCTCGAGCCCTGATCAGAGAGCAGGAAATGGCTGAAAACAAACCGAAGCGAGAAGGCAACAACAAAGAAAGAGACCATGGGCCAAACTCCTTACAACCGGAAGGCAAACATTTGGCTGAGACCTTGAAACAGGAACTGAACACTGCCATGTCTCAAGTTGTGGACACTGTGGTCAAAGTCTTTTCGGCCAAGCCCTCCCGCCAGGTTCCTCAGGTCTTCCCACCTCTCCAGATCCCCCAGGCCAGATTTGCAGTCAATGGGGAAAACCACAATTTCCACACCGCCAACCAGCGCCTGCAGTGCTTTGGCGACGTCATCATTCCGAACCCCCTGGACACCTTTGGCAATGTGCAGATGGCCAGTTCCACTGACCAGACAGAAGCACTGCCCCTGGTTGTCCGCAAAAACTCCTCTGACCAGTCTGCCTCCGGCCCTGCCGCTGGCGGCCACCACCAGCCCCTGCACCAGTCGCCTCTCTCTGCCACCACAGGCTTCACCACGTCCACCTTCCGCCACCCCTTCCCCCTTCCCTTGATGGCCTATCCATTTCAGAGCCCATTAGGTGCTCCCTCCGGCTCCTTCTCTGGAAAAGACAGAGCCTCTCCTGAATCCTTAGACTTAACTAGGGATACCACAAGTCTGAGGACCAAGATGTCATCTCACCACCTGAGCCACCACCCTTGTTCACCAGCACACCCGCCCAGCACCGCCGAAGGGCTCTCCTTGTCGCTCATAAAGTCCGAGTGCGGCGATCTTCAAGATATGTCTGAAATCTCACCTTATTCGGGAAGTGCAATATCCTTTTATTTTCCCCTCGTGAGAAAAACAAGCCAAAAAAGGTTTCCCAAAAGGTTAGGTTTACAGAATATCTAGAGTAATGTAGATTAGTATCTTCTTAAGAAGGCAACCTTTCGTATTATTCAAAGGAATAGGCTTTTATCAGCATGCGTGTGGCATTCCTGATTGCAGAAAAGCTTAAAACTAAACCAACAATCTTTGCAGCTTCCACAAGTTGTTCACTGCCTGGAGGAGCTCCTATTTAATATGTGCTTTCTCAGCAGTGTTTTTTTTCTGCTGTTCTTCCTGTATTATCTTCTTACCCCTCTCTTTAAAAAAAAAAAAAAAAAAAAGAGTAGATCAGAGATGGGAAAACAATCTCTTTGTAAATACTGATTGAATTCTTTCAGGTATTTTTTAAAGGTGGTAAGTTTTATAACACAATAGGGAGAAAAGTCAGTTTTCAGATCCCTAAGATCCCATAAGAAGAATTCTCAGTGTAAACCATCTGCAAGGCTTCTGTTCGTTTAAGGATGTCCTGATGAAATCTTAGGAAGAGCACTTTGTAAGTGGGAGGTTGAGGAGGAAGAAAAATGGATGTGGATGGGGACTTAGAGTCTCTCTTTCATCTTTAAGTGAGACTTTTTTTTTTAAAGGAAATATACAGGTACTGATTTATTCAGACAGCATTGGTCTGTCTCTCTCGTTCACCCAAGGTCTGTTCTTTGGGTCTGGTGCAGCTGCCTCTATGCATGATTAACCTCTGTTCAGCCATACACAGAAATCTTTTGTCCCAACATACACAAAGCAAATTATTTTGGAAAGCGAGAGAGTACAATTAAATATAAAACTCAGCTGTATTCGACTTAAAAATGGCTCTTTTTATGATTCTTTTAAATTCTGAAACTGACTTTTATGTAGAGATAACAGTTATATATTTTTTATTAGGCCTATCCTGAACTCCAGCTATTTTTGACTGAAAATTTTTTTTTCCTCTCTGTATATTGGTTCTTTCTGTAAATTTTTAAAAATCTTGTGGTCGTTGGTCTTTTGGGGGTAGTAGAATAGTAGCATTTGGGGGCAGGTGGAGGCATGTTTCTTATATAATAAATAACCAGATGGATATAAAATTTAGCAATTAAGTTGGCTGTGACTAAATTTAGGACTTTGAGCAATTGTCTTGATGACTAGAGATTGACATTTTCGCATCTAAGCCCACTCCAGAGGCTGCTACGTAAGTGCAAAGTCTCAGCTATGGGTGGAAATATGTTTTCCTGGTTAGTGGAGGTCATACTTCAAGCCAGCTCCCAGGATAGTAGTGCAGATTTCTGATAGGGTGAACTACTAGGGCCCCAATCATGAGACCTGCTTGGGCAGTTAAACATGGAGTCTCTCTTATACTGAGCAAGAAGAGAAGAACATTGTAACAGAAAGGGAAGAGAAAGATGTGGGAGATTTCTCCATGTAAATAGAAATGGAGTTGTAGCTTAGTTGTTGATTTCACTTTGACCTTTTGAAAATCTGAAATTCAATCCACCAGCCATGAATCAAAGCTGCACCAAGCACCATGCCTTACATATTATAAGCAGGCAGTAAATATTGATCGAAATGATTGGAATATCGCTGTTGGTGATGAGAAAGGCAAAGTATGAAGACACAATGGCTGGAATTTTTTTGTGCCCTTTGCAAAAAGAGCATCTTCAGAGGTTCATGTAAGGCTAATGTCTAGGGCTAAGACTCCATTGCACCCCAGAGATCTCTTAACTTCATTTTGAACCAAGTAGTAGTGATAGTGGGTTCTCTCTTTCTCTCTCTCTCTCACAGACACACACACACACACACAAACACACACACAGAGTAAAGTGACATGCGTGCCAATTTTGGTGAATATTTAAAGATTTAATGCCAGGTTTCAAAACTCCTATAAGTCCACACTAAGCTCTTTAGTTCAAGATGCCAGTTTATGGTTTTTCTTTAAGTTAGACTTTTCATTATAACCAGATCATTATAATTATGGCTGTGCTTTATGTTTTTTAAAGTTTAGTCTTCTAGGAAAAAAATCTTTTAGAATGCTTTAAGTGTTGGCTATGTTCATTGTCTCAACCTCTCCAAATCCCCTGAGGAATTTTGAGGATTTGAATTGAAAGAAGTTCCTTTTATTTTGATATGTATCAAAGGCTTTAAAGAAAATATAGTTGCTTCTTCTTCAGAAGAATGACTTCTCCTTTCTCCTGTCAACATAAGTTTCTGTCGAGCGCGGTGATTCTGTTGGGAAACACCCATGTTCATATGAAATGTTAGCTGCTCACACCCAGAATTGTTTCTTTCATATAGCTAAATAATGTCAGCCTCTCGTGGCAATTAGTGATTACATTTTCCACCTTTCGGCCTTTTATGTTCCTATTCTTTTTCCCCCCTATACTATTAATATATTGCACTTTTAACCATTTATCTCATTGGTATATTATTTCTTAGGAAGAGTAAAACAGGCAAACAACCTTTTCTATAGTTCCCACAATTCTGAAACCAGTGAGGATCTGTTGGTTTGTATAGATATTGGGCCCACTTTTCTCCTGTCTCTACCTCTGTATGGTGGTGTGTTCTTCCCTTGATTTAACTGATAGTGCGAAGGCAACATTCTCAAGCTTTTACTTTGAAGAAATCTCTGGGAATCACAGTGAGTGATGTTTTACTTCAATTTTAGGGATACAGGGCCATATATGAACCTGTTGTACAGTTATTCCTTGAAAAGATCAATAGAAATGAGCAGAAATGCAATGAAATGGTACCACTGTGATTGCTATTATTATGGGTTTTATTTTTAGTTCATGGCTTTCCAAACTGTTATACATAATTTAATTCTTCAGGAAAAATTCTCTCCCACTCCAAAAGGTACCATCTGTTTTTTGAACAAAGTAGCCAAGATAAGAACCATTAAGAACACCAGCTTATCAGATCAACCCATTCTATGCTCACCACATTAAACATATACATTCTATAGGACAGAACACACTACCTCATTATCCCATCTAGTAGAAGGGAAATAGTGAATGTGTGTGCAAGTTAAACTGAATTTCAGTGCACCTGCTCCAAGGGCTCATGTCTTGGATTTTAAAAATATGTTCAGCATCTTTGCAAATGAATCTGTTTAATCAAATATTAAGTTTTATTCAAATTCCAAAAGAAACAGTCAGCCAATTGCTTTTCTTCATGATGTTCCTTGTCATTCATCCTCTTTGCATCTCAAGAAAAATAGCCTTGTTTTGGCCCCAAACATTTGCATGCACCCAATTAAAGCACAAGAGGAGTAGTATAAGCCGTTAAGATGTGCAGGTGAAGAAATTGAGCCTATTCTCTGAAACAGCCGGCTTTTTCTACTCAACTTTTAGGGAGAATGTTAGAAAGACTTGAAGTTTAGAAAAGAAAATGGCTTAGTAATTTGAAATTAAAATTCAACCAGGAAACGTAGATTAGAAATGAATTTCTGAAATTTGAAACAATCCACAGAAGTTGATCTTATACATTTTTAGAAGTCTTGTGGAGGCTATAGTACTTATATTAGCTAGAGTGAAACATGTAGATTAAAGACTAAAAGACTATGGGCTCCTAAACTGCTGACCTCCCCTGAAAAAAAATTATAAAGTAAGTAAATTTAAAAAAAAATTTCCATACACTACACATCCCTCCGATTATGGTGAACTTCCTAGTGGGAGTAACAATTTGCTCTATCACTATCATTATGTGAGAGAGTTTAGATCTTTCCTCCCTATTTTAGTTTCTAGGGGGAAAACTGCTTAGAAACTTAGCAAATTAGGGAATAAGGCAGAACTAAAATTCTTTAGGTTTCAAATGTTTTGGAAAATGTAAGTAGTCTCAACCCATTTGCTTGGAACTGCAGCACGTACAATCTCTAGCTACAATCCGGAGTTTCGTTGGAAAAAAAGAATTTTCTTCCTCTGCTTTCACAGCCTATTATTCTCCCATTTGCCTTTTTGCTGCCTCCGCTGCTCCTCCCGTGGCTGCTGTTTAGGTAAGGTTATATTGTACTTGGTAAACAGACAACACTTAGATTCTCAGGTTGTTTGAACACTGCTTTAGGTTCAGCTGCAGTACCCTGCTTCTCTGATCTTTTATATTCCTGAGCAGATGTCTTTCATTAATTTATGGATTTATCATCTTTTCTTTTTTTTTTTCTTTTTTTTTTTTTTTTTTTTTTTTTTTTTACACCTGGCAGCTGTCTCAAGTTTCAGCAGTTATTGTCTATTTTGCATTACACATAGAATTGAATGTCATCTGTCTTCACAAAGCTATGGCTAAGAGAATTGAGGCACAGCCACACGAGCTGCTGGGACAGATCTTGTTTGCGTTCCATCCCCCCTCACCCCACTCCCCTTTACCTCCTTAATATTTATTTGTGCTCATTTTCTTTCCTGGCCTTGAATGGAGCTTAGCTCGTGTTCAGTACAGCTGTATGTTTACTGAATCTATTCCATCATGAGTCATTGTGCGTGTGTAAGTATCCTGGAAACAGCTAGTGCTTTCTTGGAAGAACAGTTGCTTTTCAGCACAAGCACTTAAAAGGGAAATTAACCAATTGGTCAGTTCAGATTTATTTTGAGGAGAAAAAAAGGATTATCTAACTGTTGCCTTTTACATGTTTCATTAGTTATTTTTAATAGTTTATTAGAAACATATATTTTATGGGAATTTTATCTTAATTACACAATAAGCAAGAGATAAAGATTAATTCTGTGTTCCATTTCAACTGATCAGTTCCAAGTATTACCAACAGGAAACATTTTAAAGCAAAAATGAACTTGAGAAATCCAAATTGGAATAATTTTTATTAGATAAAAAGCCTCTAAATATTGATCAAAATAAAATGGATATTTTACTGTTTTTGGATAAAAAGAACGAAAACATCTTAGCATAATTTAGATGTATTAAGAGCTTCAGGAAGTTTTGGTAGCTCAGTGCTCATCTAAGAAACGCAGAAAAACACTTTGTATTTAAAATATGAAATTTTTTGGTTTAAAATATGAAACCAAATTTTAAAAGATTTGCGACTTCTAATTAAATGTATGGTGTTGTCTTAATGTAGCCATCTGAAAGAAAAGATTAGAACCCAGATCTGAGAGTGTCTGTCAAAGTTTGGACTTGCCTAAAATTCTTATCACAAGGCAGTAGGAGACAGCTTGCAACTATTATTTCACTTATCCATTTGGACAGATGGTCCTGAAGTGTGCTGGGCTCCTTTAGTCTTCTGTATCAGTCTAATGGAGGTTACTGGAGGGCCTTTCAGCCCTCTCCTTGGCACAAGAAGTATGTCAGTCATAAATTATCGTCTTTGTAATCATTAAGAATCTCAAACAAAAACACAAGTTCAGTTAAGCTGCTTTGGCTTACAGATATAAAATCAAAATTTATTTCTTTAGTGTTTATTTTCAGTTGAACAAAAAAAGAAAGAAAGAAAAAAACCTGCACTACTTAACTTTTCTATTTACAGACCAAGGTGATCTTTTTAAAATTGCATGGGATATTAAAGGGAATGTTAATTGAACAAATTCTCAGCAGAATATTTGGTTAAACACCCTGTTGTAAGTAGTCAAGAGCTTATCCATATTAATTTGATTATGCTTCTCTAGTAACTTTCCGGTTTCTCTCCATTCTTAAGATTAGTCATGCTAGACTTGATGAAGGTCATTTGGAAACCTTTACCTTTCCTAAATATCTGTGTTTATTTGACATTTTTGCCTCAGGTGTGAAATTTTTGTTGGGTAGTTGTGTGTGTGTGTGTGTCTGCACACACATGCACACTTTTTTTTTTTTTTTTTCTTATTTTTCCCAGACACTCTTTTAAGAGAAAATCCTTAGAGAAGCTTCTAGGAAGGACCCTTAATTGACCTTGTGGGGGACCACATTGATTTTCTCCACGTGCATCTTCATTTCTGATAAATTATAAAGCCATTAATTTGCTGAGGAAATGGCAGGGCCAGGCTGCGGCACAGATGTGACCAGAGCCATCCCAGCTCTGAGTCTGCTGAGGAGTGCCAAGAATCTGGGGGAGAATCAGGAAGCCTGGATTGTTATGGTTAGCCTCACATTCTCTTGGGAACTGTTTTAGTTGCTGCTGTTTACAGATCTAAAAGGTAATGATGTTTCCAGATAAATAGGCCTTCTTATTTTGGGTAAGTGGCCATTTATTGATCTGCTAACCCACATGTATTGATTTGTTAGCCCCAACTACTGCGTCACTCTCAAAGGAGTTAACTATAAATCCAAGACCGGCAAATTGTATTTGGTTTTGGACCGTGGCTTTCACAAAAGCAGCAGCCCCCTCCCTGTCCTCTCCGTGCCAAAACTACTCTTCCCAAGTTTTAGCTATTATTTAAAAGGAAACAATTAAAAGGATATAATAAGATAAAAAGCAAGTGAGTCAAGATGCTCCATTAGATTAACACTGAAAGGTAAAATGTGAAACTTGCATAACAGTGTTCAAAATAATGCATTTTATATTTTCATGTACATTAGTAGAATAATTTGCTCTAAACTGCAGAGTGTGGAGAGAAGAACAAACAGAACTGTAATTGCAAGGAAGAAAAAAAAACCTCTTATGACAAGAGTTGTGCAGTACATGTTGGGTGCATTTGTCTCCTTAGCAACAAGTGAATGTATAGATAGCCTACCAACCTAAAGCAAGGAAAATACTTTGCCATCTTCCCCCTAAAGTAGCCAAGATTCTGCAACTCAATTGTACACCCTCATCATTGCATGCGGCCAACCTCTGACAGGCGACGGTCACTGAGCAAAGGGCAGCAAGTTAGCAATAGATCCATAGCCAGTGTCATATACCTTCCAGCATTCCCACGGCAGCTTGGTGGACCTCCAGACTCTATGGAGGTGGGGACTGGAGGGAGGGAGGTGGGAGTCCTTGTGCTTACAGAAGTTCTTTTCCTTAACCAATTGCTTCCTACATGCAGGAAGGATTGTCACCCAATCACTTGAAAAAAGCAAAGCTCATGTTTTTTTATACCCGTTATCCCAGCTCCAATATGCTGAAGACCTACTTCTCCGATGTAAAGGTAGGGACTTTTTATTCTTAATTGTTTCAGTTTCTATGCATGTGGCAGTAATTTGAACTCCCGGAAGTTAATGGAGACAAATGTGGAATTGGTTTATTCCTACACCTGTGTTATAATTGATTTAATGCACTTGCCCTTTTGTCTAAAGGTGTGTTAAGCAAAGATGCCACTTGTGTATTAAGACTGAAAGACTGGTGTTAATAAGTTGCAGGGGTTTCCAATGTAGTCTGAAAAACTTAGCCTCTGTCTTTATATGTTTGAGTAGCTTCTTTGAAGAAATTTCAGCTGGTAATGGATGGATGTGCTTTACAGAATGTTTTTCCCTCCCCTCAGCAACAGTAAACTGTTTCTGTTTTTGTTTCTGTTGGTTTCCCCATATTTGTGCTTATGAAAGCAAACTCTAGCACCTCTTTTTCCCCCTGTCGAAAAGGAGCGTACATTGAAATTCTCTATGCAGTAGCTGCTTAAAAACAAAAGTGATGATTGTCTCTTATTTACAACTTAATTTGTTGTTGATGTAGAGTACACTGAGCATAAGGAGAATGAATAAAGTGACAGATTCAGGACACATTATTCAAATGAGGATATGAAAGCTGTCGGCCTACAGCTGCAGCCTCCCTCATTCTACAGAATATTGGGACCTCCTGGTTCTCTGTGTGTGTATGCGTGTGTGTGTGTGCGTATGTGTGTCTGTGTCTGTGTGTGGGTTTTAAGTAATTGTTTGCATCAACTTGATGTTGTGTTAATCATCTGTAACTTTTTAAAACATAGATTGGGTTTTGATGATGATAATGACACACATGGTATCATTATCCCAGGAACTTGATAAACACTACATTAGCTGAGATTAGTTTATTAGGGGTGGGTGTTTTTCCCCACCCCTCCCCTGCCCACCCCCATATGTACAAGTTCTTCTTTCTGCCATGGAGAACTCACAAGCTGCCAAAACACGCTTGCTCTTCCACCGCTCCCTGCACGCAGCTCATTTTCTGCTTGATGCCCAAGTGGCTTCATTGGCCCCATTTTGCAGGCCAACTCATTTCAGTTTCCTTCACTGATGTTTTATTTGGCCTTATAAGAAAAGTTCTGTTTTCCCTCCTGTTTGCTTTTGAATTGTGTATCAACTTCAGCCTTTTATCTTTCTCCTTCCCTGGCTGTGCTCCTTAAGTGGAAGGCCTGTTTTCTCCTCATTCGGCGCCAAAAACTGGGCAAGATGGGGAGGCAGGGAAAGTCCATCGTGTAAATATCTGGTTAAGACTAAGTAAGCACAAACCAGGCTGAGTGACACAGAGGCCAGGAAAAGGGTTTGGACTTTGTGGAGGACAATCTAGAGTATACAAATTGAAGGCAATTTGTCACCTGGTTGAGGACTGACCAGCTTCTAGAGTCTGGTAGAACCTGGTAAATTTTGTCTTCCAGGGAATCCTCCCAACATTGCAGTTCTAAGAGGGGACATGGAGGACAGGGAGAAAAGGGTTATTATGTGCACATATATGTGTGTATATGTCTGTGTGTGCAGATGTCCATGTTACTCATTCCTTTTAGGGCAATGATCTGCAGTGTTGTGAAATAATAATGACAATGCCTTGTATTCTTTGTATAGCACTTTTCACCCAGAAGGAGGCCAAAGAGCTTTACCAACTGCACACATAGGTATCACTCACCCACCACGGAAACACAGCCACCTGGAGGGTGGGAAACAGTAGCCATTCTGAGCCAACAACACTACCCAACAGTAGATGTCAATATTAGAAACATTCACTTTTTTGAGAGTTCATGCATGTGTGCATGTGTGTGGTGTGTGGTGGCAAGAAAAGTGGGGAAGATTATTGATCTGTAGCTTTATAAATACCAGGCAATACAAACCAACAAGAAACTGTTCCCATTCCTCTAGAATGCCCCTAGCAATTCAGCTTTGCAAATGGCCACTGACTCTGTGTAGATAGCAATGGAATACCTGGGTGAATATTTTATTTTCAAAAGCACTAATATTCAGATTGTTGATTCTATTCATACCTTATCCATACTGGAAGAGAAGGCTGTTAAAGTACATGTGGGTCTAGTTACATACCAGTTATCGACTCTAATGGAGGGGAAACAGTAGGACATATCAGGCAAAGCAGAAAATCACTGAAGGTCACTTCCGTTTTATTTTTGGAAGAAATTATACATTTTTAACTTTCTTAATTATGTTTTTTCTTTGGTTAGTAATAAATGAATTTGTATTCCTTAAGGTTACACTGGTGAGAGTAGAAAGTCATGCATAGAAAGGGAAAGGTAGTCCAGGCAACGTGGTCCAGAGACTTTCCAGAAAACAATGGCAGAGCATTCTGGGATTTCTTCAATATTAAGGATAATCACTAATTTGAATATTGACAATGTATACACACACATATGTGCATGTGCATGGATTCACAATACACAACACATATCTATAGCTAGACATTGATATACAGATAGACAAGTATGTCTATTTGCAAGGCTGAAAGAAATAGATATTTCCTTATATATGAATACACAATCCAAACTTTTATTTTGGCCAGGATTCAAGAAATCACTAGAGAAATTGGGGAAGAGAACTTAGGATCTTCTCAGAAATGAAACCCTGCATCATTTATCTGGACAAGACATATGCATGTATCCATGGACCACGTAATGCTTATTATAATGACACGAGTCTCTACTTGGTCGTGGCCACATTCATCTAGGAGAAAATTCCTAACTTTAGTAAAATGTACTCTTTCAAATAATATAATTATTTTATTCAAAAAATTTTTTTTGAGGCGGAATTTCACTCTTGTCACCCAGGCTGGAGTGCAATGGTGCAATCTCAGCTCACTGCAACCTCCGCCTCCTGGGTTCAAGCGATTCTCCTGCCTCAGCCTCCCAAGAAGCTGGGATTACAGGCGCATGCCACCGCGCCTGGCTAATTTTTGTATTTTTTTAGTAGAGACGGGGTTGCACCATGTTGGCCAGGCTTGTCTCGAACTCCTGACCTCAAATGATATTCCTGCCTTGGTCTCCCAAAGTGCTGGGATTACAGACATGAGTCACCGCGCTCAACCCTCAAATTTTATTTAGTGATCATAAGCTCATTTTGCAAGCAAAAAAAAAAAAAACAGGAGAAAAAACATTAGCAGAACATATGTTGTTTCCTGAACACAGTATAACATAATTGTCCATCAAAGCCACACCTGGATGATAGAGCTAGATGGGATAAATCCTCTGACTCGCTGTAGAAGGTGAGTCAGGCCAAAGTGGTGCCCACTCCTTCGTATTTCTCCTTAGCAATGGATACAGTGCTTAACTCTCCACAAATGACTTCCACTTGGGTAAGAGGTAAATGCTTTTCAATTACCTTGGAACGAAAGAGGTACAGGGAAATCATACAATTCAGAGATGCTGGCATGGCGAGAGTTCTTCTTCTACAGGGGTGATGTATATGAAGGATGAAACCAGGGTCGACCTAGTTTAACTCCTAGAGTAAGAATCTAAACAAAGTTCTATGTTCTCACAGAGAGCCAACTTAATTCCCTCATAATGACATTTAGCCAAACAAAAAGCTCAGCTCATCGGGGCTACAAATCCTTTGAGAAGGACAAGTGGACAAATGTGAGAGAGCTGCCAGGGATCGATGGGCCGCACCAGCTCCCCGTTCACTACTGGGTGCTGATTTTAATGTACAAACTAATAACTCTTAGACCACTAAGTACAACAGATTCAGTGTCATTTTAGCTTTGAAGAACAGACGCTCACAGCTTTTCAAGCCGGCAGTGTTAAATGATGTATCTCATTCCCTCCACCCCTTGAGTCAACTGCTGCCTAGCCAGATTAAGGTGTCAGATTGATTTGTTTTATACATCTTTTGACCATGCTCATTGAATATTTAGGAAGTTTCTTCAGCCCATATTGA